TCTTTGTTTGTTTAGTTGTGATGTCACAATATTATACAGGAAAATATACATATGATAGGTAATGTCACCTTGGAATTAGCAAATTACCTATTTTGTTGTGATTTTTTAGTTGTTTTCCATGTCCCATATCATATAAAGACCATGTGTTACAGGAGTCAATTTTTGTTCAACATGCAGTTTTGCACGGGTACAGAGCCATGTTATCTAAATTAGAAAAATGTCGTCAGATCTGTACTGTACTACTGTGGACCAATAGGCAACTTGCATGTTAGACTAATTTTTGATCTTTGCAAAAATAAGTAAATTCCTGTAAAGAACTTATTAAAATTAGTAAAATTGCAAATTTGCTTACGAAATGTTGTAAAATATGGAAAATATAGCCTTGCAAAGTTTGCATATTTTGTGTATGTTTGTATTACGTGCGGAAATTGTTACCATTTTTGAGCCGAAAATGGTAACAATTTCCGCACGTAATACAAACATATACAAAATTTGGAAACTTTGCAAGGCTATATTTTCCAAGCTTTACAACATTTCGCCACCAAATTTTGCCATTTTACTAATTTCATTATGTTCTTTTTAGCTGTGGTGTTTGATTCCCTTCTCTTTACTTAGATTAAAATTTAGTCTAACATGCAAGTTGTCCCTAGCTACATAGTACATGACTCTATGTTAGGCATTGCATTGCAAGTTGCAGCAAAAAGTGCCTTGTGAATCATGCTTGCTTTAATTATGGTATTTGTATTATTTTACTTCTGTATCATTATATATTTTGTCGAAAGTCCAGGTTGCAGTTATTACCAGTCCAAATATTTCTCTCGTGTTTTTAGTTCTTCAAAGCAGTTTTATTGGGTCAATGCTTTCGCTGCCGTACCAGTTATTTGTTTTGGTTTTCAGGTACATTTAGAATACGATCAAGTTTTTTATTACGTCCGCTAGGAGGTTAAGTTTCGTCAGCATTTGTTAGCCAGCGTTTGTATATCTGTGTGTGTGTTCGACGGTTCCAGCAAAGATGGGTATTAGTAATTTCCAGACCATTAGCCTCTGCTTGAAATATAATATTTACACTAGATTTCCACGTTTGAGATATTTTTAGGTAGCTCATACACAAACCACGGTAGCTTATGGCATCGGGGTCCAGTGATGGTGGCATAGTATTACTGTATATGGGTGGTTATTTTAAGATGACAGTTCTGTACATGTTTGTTTTAGTGCCACGTAACATCAGTTGCAGTGTTAGCTGAGATGCACAACCCTACATTAAAAAGATTTGCGATAGTCACCGCGTTATCGACACTAATATGTACTGTTATATACTCGGTGACAGGTGCATATGGATTCTTAACATTCGGTCATAGTGTAAAAAGCGACATTCTGGTGAATTATAACCCCAAGGATGGCGCCGCGACAGCAGCTAGGGCCGTCATTGTTGTGGTTGTTTTTAGTACCTACGCCATATGTCATTTTGTTGGAAGGTAAGAGCAATGAAAATAGGTCTATTTGACCATGCTGCCATACAGGAGCGTAGGAAAATTCTAACTGGAGTGTTTTTAGAGTGTGGATAACATGCTGGGGCCGGTTGTATAAAGAAGTAGTTAAATTTAACTATAGTTCAGGTTTTTTTCAGGATTTTCTCTTGGGTCCGTTTTTGCAAAGAAGATTGAGTTTAACTGAACAGCTGGGGGTCTTGCTCTTACTTTAGTGTAGTTGAGATGCAATGTGTTAAAGCAGGGGACTGAGGGACACTATAAACTGGTTAAAGACGGTGAATGCATTGTTTTTCTTGTGTTGTGAAATGAATTCCAGCCATTTTTTACTTAATTTTCGGGTTTTCAACTGAAAACTAATTTGCACACATCATGAATTTAACTCAAACAATTTCATTTAACTGCACAGAATCCTTTGATGAGAAGATTGAGTTTCAAAACTCAATTCAAGATTGAAAAAATCCCTGAAAAAAACCCTGGTAGTTAGTGCAGAAGTTAATTGGCCAATAAGAATCGCATATTTTAGCGTCAACTACAATCCTGGAAAAAAATTAGTAGACTTTTTCAATTTCTTAACGTTTCCCCCTTTCCCCCTACACAATGTTGCTATTTATGCGATGTATGTTGGAAAGTGACTTCATTTTATTCAACCTTGTTCCGGGGGAAGGGGGATTTAGCATTCAAGATCATTCACTAAATTACTTAGGGGAAAATGTACGATTTTAACACGTCATAATGTATTTTTGTGGAATTAATAAATAGTCTCCATATATTTTTTCCAGGATTGTACTATTTAGCCCCAGCCCTTTGAGTTGTTAAATTTGTCTTATTTAGGTCAGCTTTTCTTGGTCTCTGGATAAAACTGCGAAAACTGACAGTACACGAGATTGAAGTTTGGGAGAACAAACGCAGAATAGTCACTTCGCTAGTTTGGTTTTTCTCCAGTCTTGGTTTGGCGATTGTAGTTCCAACTATAGGAAAAGCGATTGCGATCGTGGGAGGATTTGCTGCACATTTTATTTTTACATTTCCAGGTGGGCTTGTCTTGTTGTGGGCTTCTCCTGTTGTTTCGTAAATTGTTTTAAGCGTGAATTGGGTTAGTTTTTTTCGAAACTCTTGAAATAAAGCAAGCAGGCTGTTGGGTAGACTACATTGAAATCTTTCGTTAACCCAGAGGGGAGAGGCAAACATTTTATCGACACCATTTTCTGAATTGCCCCGTCGCGCTGAACACGGTGGCGGTATCCCCGCGGGCTTCCAACCTGTAGTTCAACCTCGTAGCCAGGCTGGGGCGTAGTGGAAAGAGCCTGGATACGAGGACCTCAGGGGCGGATCTAGGGGTCGTCAAACCAGTCACGCGACTAACGTAAAAATTACAAACTTAAATTAAAGTCTGATTAAAGCATTAAATATTCGACCAATAGTCCAGTTATTTTTTATCAGGCAGTGGCACTTTATAATAGTCCAGTATCTATTATCATGCAGCGCTAGCAATTAACATTCCAATTGAACTGTAGTCCAGTGATCAAATTTCATACAGTGGCTGAGCCGACGAGCTTAGTCAAGTCAATGAGCAGCTGACATA